TGATTAGACAGTCACATGCTTTACAAAGCGGACCCCCAATATTTCTAGTACCCACCCGGCACCCACATAGTTGTTACAATATTATTGACTACATTTCCTATGCTCTACTTTACATCCCTGTATCTTCTGAAAGCTGCATTGCTCTTTCCTTCCCTTTAGAATCAGTAGGAAATTGCTTTATTTCACCATCTTTTTTTATACTTGTCTCCAGCTCACACTGTTTTCAGTATATCCAACCTCAGAACATTTTCTTGGTGTTAAATCTCAAACATCAAGATATGCACAGTCGTCCATAATACCTATGGACTGCAAATGGTGTGCTGTAGAAGAACGTTGCAGGCTCTTCCAAAGTCATTTTATCCTTTGGATTTCCATAGTTTCTTCCTAAATTTACAAATGGCACTGTTGTCCTCCTTACAGTAATCTGACATACTGCTGTGTCTGTCCCCTCCCCCGCCAGAAAAGGACTAAGAAACAGTTAGGAGTTCATTATAGGCCTATGAAAACCGCACAAAAATTAAGTAGAGATTGAAAAAAAAACAAAAGACATTAACTATAGCTTAAACTTAGTCCTTGATTCGGTAAAGGTCTGTTGAGTCCGCCGTGATATTTCTTGGCCTTTAATTTCCTTATACTGTTATAAGGAGGCAGCCTTGTAGCAACGTATAAACCCCATCTGTATCTGGATTCTATCTATAGCAGAACTAAGATATTTGTTGCTCCTACAATGAAAAACTTTTTGCATTTGAAAGCAACACACGCCAGTTCTTTCTTTTTTATGGGAATCGTAATGTGAAGAGGAGAGGAAAGACAGGAAGATTATTACTAGGCATCAATTGGTGTATACAGGCGTAACTCAGATATAGTGTGGGTTCAGTTCCAGACCGCCGCAATAAAGTAAACATCGCAATAAAGCAAGCCGTAATCCTTTCGGTTGCCCAGTGCATATAAAAGTTAGTGCTTGCACTATGCTGGGGTCTATTGTGTGTAATAGCATCACGTCTAAGAAACAATGTGCGTGCCTTAATTAAAACTACTTTATTCATAAATGAAAAATGCTAACTATCGTCTGAGCCTGTTGGAGAAATGGCGCCAATAGACTTGCTTGATGTAAGGTTGCCACGAACCTTCAATTTGTAAAAAAAACGCAGTGTCTGTGAAATGTTATAAAGCCAAGTACAATAAGATGAGATATGCCTGTACATTATTTACTCTTTCTGAAAAAGCAATAACTACATTGTTTTAATGATCAAGAAAGGTTATTACATCAAAATGATTATCAAAGTTACTAAAATCTAACACAACTTAGTGGCTGATCTAGAATTCACACTGGGGTCTATGTGACTTTCTCATAGTCTAGCCCTAGACACTGGCCTTGGTGGGCTCTGAATATGAGAGGCAGAGGGGTGAGAACACCCTGCCAAGGAAGCGTAGCTTTTGCTTACAAGGGGTGGGTGAGACAGTTGTCCCCAGAGATCTGAAGCCGGGCAGGCCCTTCCTTGTCATTAGGGTCCCCTGTGAAAGGTGGCCAAGTCTTTCTGAGAGGCTGTGGCACAGAGAGCCTTTGGTGATGGCGGTGACAACTTGAAAAATTACCATAAACCAAGACTTGTGCTGAGTTGTCTATTTTAAATGCTGTTTAGCTTTCTGATAGTTACCAATATCAGCAACAACAAAAAGCTACCATCTGTATGCTAGAGAGAATGGGAAAATGATCTTACTTGAAGTAAGACAGTTGGAATCTTCTATATCTCTTCTCACATAGCTTATTTAGCATATTTTATTATAACAAAGATTATTGATAGCAGGTTATAACTACTAGGAAACTGCTGCTGAATGTGACGCCAGCTTTCAAAACTGGTCACAAAGCTGTGTGTGCCTCGAGAAATTAGCTGAAAACACCTTTTATGTTTCTGAAAATATGAGTCAGGGAATAAAGTAATTAACAAAAACATTTACATATAGAAAACAATTGTATTTTCTCTGTCATCTTCAGTAAAAGCTTGAGAAGATGTGACTATAGCACAGATGGCTAAGTTTTTATTCAAACTGAAAAATAGTTGATCTGAGATTTCGGTCACTGCATGTGACTCACTTGGGTACTTCCTAAAAAAGTGGCAGATTAGGCTTATTGTATCCTTAAAATATCCCAATTTTCACTAACTTATTTCCATTTTAGTTTAGTAAGATTCATCCTCACTAACTGACAAAATCAGATCCTGCCATTTGTCACTCAGTTCGCGTCGTAAGCGTGTTTATAACAATTAGGACGACAAAAAGTCGATGCTGCGTAAAGCTTTTGTGTACAAGCTTTACATTGGAAAATGGCACCTCGTTGTTCTCAGAAAACTGAATTACACCCCAACTTTTCAGAAAGTTTTTATTTGTAAGAGTGCCCTCCAAAGAAGTATCTGTTCAACTCCTTGATTTGTTGACTCTACATCAAGAGTTGAAATGCGTTCCCTAATGCGCTTTCCTTGATCTTGCATTTCCCTACTTATCAAAGTTGATTACAGCTTGAATACACATATCCCCTTAGCTTCAAAATCATGTAAAAATCATGGATAACAGAACAATTTAAAGTATTCTTTGCTATCCCAATTTGGTTTTATGATTGTAATAAGGCTATTAGGTTTGGGAAAGGGTTCTGTTTTTATGTTTTATTCCTCTGATAAAAAAAATCAGTCTTCAGAAGGGAAGGGGGAGAGGGGTAATGGAGGAAAGACGGGGAAGGGTTGTCAAGGAATATGTATAAATGGTCCATGGACAAAGACGATGGGGGGGATTGAATGTGGGAGGTGGGGGTGGATGGGACAGGGGAGAGTAATGAGGGTAACAATTTTAAAAAATCAGTCTTCTGCCACTTTGGATTAAAGTGTGTGTGTGTGTGTGTGTGTGTGTGTGTGTGTGTTTCCGCTAAACTTGCTCATACAGTGAAACAAGAGTTTCTTTATCACACATCAGAAAGAAACATTATGAGCATGTAAAGCTCATTTCATTCCATTCACCACATTTTAGGGGCTTAGGCTTTTTGAAAAGCTGTGCACATATGCTTCATCTGCATGTAACACTGGACCATAATAAAATAGCAGCTGATGTATTCAGTTAAACATAATTATGTATTATATATCACTTTGAGAATTTCAAGGGCTTACAGTGCAATGTTTTCAAAGGAAATTTATTTAGTTCCTGCTAATTACTGGGGACACTATACTAAATATTTGTATGGGTTAGCAGATTAATCTATCTATCTATTATTACGTAGTTAATTTTAGTGCCTCAAATAAGAATAGGACACAGGTCTCTGCCACTTCATTCCAGTGTCTCCTAAATTTCATAAATTATTTACTTGATTTCTTTTAAAATCGCCCAGAAATTTTCTTCCCATCTTAGTCTTAATCTTTGTATTTTACAAAAGAAAAAAAATTAGACGCGCAAAGGCAATCAAAAGAGTATCCTTCTTAAAAATGGTATGCATCACGGTGCTTTGTTGATTTCCCTTAAACAAACTTTATGTGGCTCTATAATTGCTTCTGGAAGCAAAACCCTTTTATGCGTCAGCCCAGAGCAGATTACATAAGACAATCTGTTCCTGTTGGAGCCTTTTCGAAGTGTTATCGTGCAACATTTATTCTGTTTTTTAGTATGGCTAATGGTTGCCTGGTAAGTGTGTGTAAACAACGTAAAGTACGAAAAGGGAAAGGCGGGGGCAAGAAAGCCCCTCTGCAGCCAGCTCAGATGATCCCTTTTAAATTCTTAGAATCCTGGCAAAGAGGGACAGCATGACACTCGCCGATGGCTCTGCAGATACTGCACAGGCCTTCGAGCAAACACTGTCTTGAGGTTGTAAAACATTAACCAGCCCAAGCTGCACTATTGTGTTTAAAGTAGTGATAGAGACACTTTGACAATTCCCAAGCGACCACGGGTTTCATTGTGTGCACAGGTCCAATTTTTTATAATTAACTTGCTCTGTTCCATTCCGTCTTCTCATCCCTCCCAATGGCCACAAGTGTGACCCAGAGGGACGTGCTTATCAAAAAGACAACTCCTTTCACGAGTCCAGGTTTTTTTCTTTATTATTGTTTTTAACTTTTGGTCCAGAGCTCAAGTGATTTCAAAATGTGCCACAAACTACCAGTGAAGCATGAAATCAATTTAAGGGGTTACAATAAGCATTTTAAAATCTAATAGAACAGACTAAAAATATTCGAGCGCATTGCATGAAGAGTATGTTTTAAACTCTTGTATCAAACTCCTTTAGGTGTATGTGTGTGTAAAAGCAATATGTAAGTTTCTGGAACGCCTACTGCTCAAAAATAGGAAGGTCACTGCTGTGCTTGTTTTATGTGATGGAGTTCCTATGCTATTTTAAACAATTTGAAAACAGCAATGTAATGTCTTTTCCCAGTTTGATCTTTGGGTTTGTGTCTGGTTATCATTATTTTTGGACAAAATAATAGCAAATGAATGAGTACATGATCACCGTCTAACTTTCACTTAGTGGAAACTGTTAGTGTCTTCCCTTGCACCTTTGTAGAAATAACCTCTGCATCTGTTCCACTATGGTGTGAGGAGCACTTATGAGGGTTATGTGCCATTTCTGTTTAGTGTTTTGACTTGGTTTTTGTACCTTTGCTTGAAATAATTATTTTCAAATAATTATTGGTATTTAATGTTCAACAAATACAATAGACGTGCTTATGAAATTAGCTAATGTTTTCTTTCCTCAGGTTAATGTGACTGACTTAAAGAAATTACTTAGAAAAAGAAATTAGAATCTGAAAATTTGAATTAGCAATATATTGTCTGTGTCAATGGAATATTAACTTAATGAAAATTAAATATAATCTATTCAGTTACATCTATTCATATTTAAAATAAGCTTCTGGCTGGAGTACATTAGAATTAATAATAATGAATTATATTTTATATTATTTGAATCATATTTGCTTGAGTGAGTGTAACTATTTTTCATTTTCCTTTTCTTGTATTTTCAGCTAAAATTGACCAAGAGGCAGAAGAGAACTCACTAACAGAGACTCATAAATGGTAAGAAATAGTACTTTTCTTTTACATTCATTTTTCAGAATAGGCTCATAAAATAGTATGTTTTCTCTCAAGGAACCAATCATTAACTCAATTTTTATTTTCAAGTATAGAAGAAAAAGAAACTAGTGTAATAATGTGCTTTAATTCCACATTGGATTTCTGAATTTTATTTGTGAGTCTAAATGATGTCTAATCCTGTTAAGTATCAAATTATTGTGAATAGTTTATCACCTTCAATTTTGAGAGGGTCTCAGGGGAGAGCAATTGAAAGAGTATTGTCAGCTCCAGGATACAAGCAGCAAAAGCAAAGTGGTCAAACAGAAGTTTAACAGAGACGGCTAGGAAGGGAGAAAGCCAAGAAGCGTCCCCCTGGGGTGACTGTCCCCCGAGGGTTTGGAAGGCCACGCGTAAGTGAACCAGGCTGCAGCCTTGAACGATCAGACCTGTGTGCAGCAGACACAGAAACGTTCCCCAAGCTTCGTGCACCTCCGTCAACACAGGGGCCAGCCTCCCTGGCGCTGGGCGCTTCCGCACAACCCACCAGCCAATGGCTGAACAACGAGCTCTTCTGACGCCGGGGCAGCTCCGGGGAAGCTGGGCTTTAAAATAAAACCACATACATTCCTGGCAGTTGGGAAGGCTGTGTACCTCCCCATAGTCTGATAGCCACAGAACAGGCACACTGGCATCAGCTGAATCCACCGCTTCTCCTGGTGTTGCCGAACAATGGACCCGTTGTGGGTGGGTACCCCAGATGCTACTACTAGAACAACACGCCCCCTTCTCTTGGGTCCCTCGGTTCTAGGTTCTTTGCCTGCCGCCCTTAAAAATTATGGCTCTCAGTGGCAAAGTTTGGTGAAAAAGAAAGGAGCTATTTATTCAAAAGTTATACAAGTTTTGAATAATGGCTAAAACCCCTTTATAACACCCACCAACACACACAGTCCTGCCTTCCCCTCTTTGCCCAGTCAGGGGTACCATCCTTCAGAAGAAAAAAAACCAAAGTCCAGAGCTCGGTTAGGCAGGCCTCTCGCGGTTCCCAGCACCATCAGCCGTGTCGCTGCGATCTTCAGGTCTTACTCTAAAACCACGTGGCACCTTCTCACGACCCACGAGCAAGAGTCCTTTCTCCCCTTTCCTTCCAGCGTGGTCTTCACGTTGTTCCCCAGAGCCTGTGTTCCATCCTCTCTCCCATTCAGGCCCTGTCTTGCCTTCCCAGTTACATCCCGTCCTAAGGCACGTGGTCAAAAAGCCTCTAGCACGGCTGGGTTTTAAACCCCAGCACAAATCCTCCCCAGCAACCGCATCTCCCACTCCTTTGTAATTGGGGGAGCTGCTTCCCAGTTCCCTCGTGGGTTAAAGTTATGCAAACCTTCCTGGTTAGCCTAGTTGATATGCAAAATACTCATCTTTGCATATGAAGTATGAAACTATCTTCCTGCTATTGACATGCAAAATGATTTTCAATCACCTTGCTCCCTGTCCCTCATCCCCCGTGGCAGCCTGTCTGCAGGGGAGGGGAGGATATCCTTTATTTTCTTGGATACTTCAATTTCTGGACCCCGTTACAAATCCCCTTACCCCTTCGGGGGGTGGGCCTGGCTGTTTCCTGGTACAATGGGATTGTGTGCTTGAGCAGACAAGAATTTCTTCTTGACATTCTGAGTGTCAAGCAGTAGAGGGCATGGTGGATTGACCCAGATTATAGAGGTCAGGTCTCCTTCCCACCTATGAGGGCTTGACCATTTATCTATCTACTTTTATTGATTGATTTGAGAGAGAGATGAAGGGGGGGGGAGAGAGAGCGATTTGTTGTTCCACACATTTATGCTTTCATTGGTTGATTCTTATATGTTCCCTGGCCGGGGATTGAACCCACAACCTTGGCATATCATGATGATGCCCTAACCAACTGAGCTACCCAGCCATGGCGATACCTTGGCCATGATAAACCATTTTAGTTGTCTGAATATATTGGAAGCATCCTAATCAAAGAAAAATTCTTGTGAGGTACAGTTTTATTCCAGTGATGCTATTACAACTCAAGACATTTTCTTTTTTATAAGCCCCAGTTGATGAATGAGTGACAAATGTGTGCACTTTAATTCTTAGACCTGGTAGAAAGTCATTTACAAATAATTGTAAGAGTTGTGTTGGGTTATAAGTATCTTCAGGATCATGCAGTGACTGAAAAACCTTTTTGAGACCAAAAGAGGTTTCCCAAAGGTTGTGAGGCAGTTTAGGATCCTGTGTGCTCACAAGGTCGCTCTGAAGAAGGCCAGGGTGTAGGGGACAGGGCCCTGCTAACTCCAGTCGGGAGTTCAGTGGGGTAAACCGCACAATGTGCCTGGGCCTCAGCCTCCTCATTGGGAGATGGAATATAACCCCGCCTTCCGTCTTCCAGCGTTGTGGGAATATCACACTTGGTTCTTTGCAGTCAACAAAGCTTCTTAGGTGAGGCTAGTTGAGGCCTTACTAGGAAAGCGTAGTCACGTGAAAATGTTTGGGAAACTGCGCAAGCTCATGTTATCACTTTTCTTTGAAAAGGAATGATAACCATTTGTCTTTATGATCAAGTACTTTTTTAAAAAGCCTTGGCTCTTAGTCCACTTGAAATGTGTACATGTAGTCCTGGCCAGGTGGCTCAGTTGTTTGCAGCATCGTCCTGCACACTAAAAGGTTGCAGGTTCAATCCGCAGTCGAGGTGTGTACAGGAGGCAACCAGCCGACGTCTCTCTTTCTCTCAAATCAATAAACATATCCTTGAATGAAGATTAAAATGCACTTCTTTCAAAAAACTAATTAAGCTTTTTTTTAAATAAAGAATTCATTTCTATAGTAGAATATTATGTTTTTCAGATTATTTCATAATTTCCTAAGAAAACATATTCAAAAGAAACAAGAGATAGTATATATATTTTTCCTTTAAATACTACATTTTATTTAACCTAATATATCTTTTAATCAAGTCAGATCTTTTTCCATATTCCATTTGTTGGCATAATAGTTTTACATGCTAATTTATTTAGTCATACTTTTTTTAATTAATTGGAGAAGTGAGACTTTGAGCTCATTTCACCTAAACAGAAAGATACTGCTCTGGACTTTGAGCTCTTACTTTCTCCCAGAAAGTAAGGTGACTAAGCAGATGAGTCCTAAACCACACCCAAAACCCAAACACAAACTGAAAGACCATATTCTCCTCTCCGGATGATTTAACTGGGCAAGCCAGCCTACCATATTGGACTACAACACAGATTTCAGCAAATCTTGCTAAGGTTGGCCACACCTTCACTGTGTGTGTTTATTTCAGCTTCTGCTTTTACTTTATATTTAATTACCATATGTGGCTTTCTTCAATTTTGGAAAAATATCATCTGACCAAATGTGATTGTTTTTTTTCCCCCACAGAATTGCTCCGCGTCAATGTCAGCTCACAGGCAGAGAATGTAGAAATGTTGGGTTTATTTAATAAATCACCACTTCTTTATATTTAAAGAATAATGAGAATAGGAGTTATAAAATTGACTTTTGATACCCAGAGGTTCTTATTTATAAATTGTGGCTACCTTCACATTTTTCTTAGATTTTCTTCTGTTTTCTTTCTTTAAATTCCACAGGTAAAACCCACATTTGATAGTGAAACTAACTTCTGAGATAGAAAAAGAACAGATTTAATTTTGATGTCAGTAAAGCTGCCAAAATGACTAAAAGTAAAATTTGAATGATCTAATGTAACAGTTTTGATAGAAGTATCTTTGTCAGTTAATTTAGGTGATATTATAGATAAAGGAAATCAGGCCAGCAAAGGTAGAATAACTTGATACACTCTGAGTAATGAAAAAATGACTTCTTTGTACCACTTCTATTATTTTAAAAGAACTTTCATTTTTCTAGGAAGTTTGTGGCTTTTCCTACAGATTAAAACATTGGTTCGAAGATGTTTGTATATTTCAGCAAGACATAGGCTACTGAAATGTTTTTATAGAACTGTTTTTAAAAAATGCTTCAGAATGGAAGTCTTTTTAAAGTATTTTTTTCCAGTAACTAAAGACAACTAAATGATTATAGTGTAACTAATCTTTTAATCATAAGACAATAATAAATTTGTTACATAGAGAAGCAATTACCACAATCATAGTGACAGAATTAATAAATTAATGTTACTTATTTTGACATATGATGTGATAAATGTTTGTATAGTTTTACAATATACTTAATGTACCTCATAGTATCTTTTTTTTAACTCTTAGAAAGAATACGTTAATTCTCCCCTCTCCTCCATTTAATAAAAATAATAGCAAAAGCCGTTTCAAACAACCAGTAGTAAAAGGCAAGAAATAGTAGTGGAAGAAAGCATATTTGTAAAAGAATTTTCAATCACACATTTTAAAAAATAAATGCTATTTCTGCATGTAATATTGCTTGAGTGGTATTTAACCAAAGCCAAGATTGCATAACAAATGAGTTGAAATGGAAAATTTATCTTTCATGCAAAATAAGGACACAATAAAGGAAAGAAACAAAGGAGTGTTGATTCCAATTGTTTCATATAGTATGTAACTGTTCATTTGTCATGGGAGAGAAAATATTTAATCAGTCCTGAAATGATGCACACATACTTTATCATGTTTAGTGACTTTTAGAGTGTCAGTTTGTAAAGTGTTTATCCAAGGAATGGACTTCTGGAACATGGATAAAATGAAAAGTGAAATGTTTAGTTCATAATAGACATATTTTCCAGAATCGTTCTGAGTAACTATCCGGAGATGAATAGAAAGACTACAGGTCTGTGTTTATCTGGCTGACGCTGGCAGGCCAGGCAGGCTCCAGCCTGGTATTAAAACCGAAGTGACACGGAATGTCTTTGCAGAACCCCCAAACAATGACATCACGCTCTTCACAATATTGATAAAGTAAAACAAAGTTGGAGTTTGTTATTTTCCCATTTGGATTTCTTAGTGAACTGCTTTGACTCGCTCCCCAGAAGAGTTAGCACT